CCTCTCCCTCCCTCCCCCCTCTCCTTCCTCCCTCCCTTTCTCCATTCCTTCCTCCCGTTCTAGTGTAGATCATGACTCCCTTTCATGTCACTGAATGTTCATCTCCGGGATCTGCATGGTGTTGCGTGGTTGGCTCCAGCATGGCTCCCTTAGCCGCGCCCTATCGGACATTCGGGCGGTTTCCAATGAAAGGGGGACCCTCGCCGGTGCTGCCTGTATTTGATGCCACATGAAACGGGCAGACGCGGCTCCATCCCTGGCGAGCGCTTCTCACCAGTCACTGCTTCACCCTCGGTTTCTCATCCAAGACGGCCCCCTAAATCTCAAGATCCTTAGCAACACTGGCAAAGGTCCTTTTCCAAACAGGGTCGCACTCCCGGGTCTGGGAGGTTAGGACGGGACCGTCTTTGGGAGCCATTTAGGAGCCGACTACGGGAAGTGTCCCCTGAAGCTGAGCACGTGTGTGGTGTGTGACCCAGCAGCCCCCCCTGGGTCAATGCCCGGAAAGAGATGTCTGTGCGTGTTCACCACAGACGTGCATGAGAATGCCACCCCCGCTCTGTCCCAGCCGCCCAAACTGGAGCCTCCCCGTGCGACACACACACATTCTGGTTGACCATACTGTGAAGAGGAAATGCAGCCACGGACATGAGTACACTGACACCCTGGGCAGTCTCCCCGACAAGCCTGTGCCCCAGGAGTGTGACACGGAGCACGTGACGGGGTTCGCCCCATACAAGCCACGGCCTTGGCGCAGCTTTCCCTGGATGCCCACTCACACCGTCTGCCCAGGGCCCCGAGTGGGGAGGCGGGCACTCACTCTGCAGCAGGAGGACCACCACTTTCTCCACGGCGCCCATCTCATTCTCTGCCAGGCACTGGTACCGCCCCGAGTCGCCCATCTGCAGGTGGCACAAGAGGGGGACACGGTGTTCAGGAGGACGAGGCGGGGAGGAGCAGCTGGGCACAGAAAGGGGTGTCTGGAACCAGGCCCATCTAACCAGGAAGAAGCTTAGAGCCTAAACCACCCAGGGGCTCACGGACTCCTCACAATGTCGCATCAGAGGGGCCTTTGTGGCCACTTGTCTATCGACATCCAAAGAGAATCCATCCCCTTTCACTCCTCGAACCTGGGGGGCGGGGAGGGGAGGACTGAGGCCATGGACTCGCTGGGGAGCTGCGTGCTGCAAAAGATGACTTAGGGTGCCTCTCCCACACTGTGTACGTTGAGGTATTATCACTCTACGGTGCACACTGAGGGATCCCTTTAGAAAGAAGAGGTGCATGGTCGATAAGTGTGGGAATACTGATGAGCAAGAAGGCATCCAAGCGGCAGGCCTTCTCAGGGCATTTAAGGGGCCATTTGCACTGCCAGTTCCCCAGGGAGGAGGCGGTGGCAGCATTTCCCCACTGAGTGGCAGGGAAGCTGTTTTCACAGGCATCCGTGACTATGGATGGTGACAGCTCACTTCTGAGTGGAAGCTCTGCCCCAGGACAGAGCTCAGGGGGCCTGTGGCCACAGTCCATGCCCAGAGACGATACGACAGAAGCCGCTCCTGAGGGACTGTCCACCAGAGGGCCCCATTCAACACACCCTGCAAGGGTGACAGCCCTCTAGGACTGTCCACTGGGTTTTCTTTTCATTCATTACTAGGTGCTGTTAGCAGAATATACACCAGAGGGCACTATTGAAACACTCCCCGACTAGAGCGCTGTTCTCCGAATGTCCAAAGGGGGTGCTATTACGCCTAATCCCATACTAATGTGCCACAGCACAAGTGGATGCTACAGACAAGGTCCCAGGACCAAACTGGAATTTCAACTAAATTACAAAACAATCACCCTGAAGTGAGTGATCAGAAGGCAGACACCTCCGTTTCCTGTGCTGAGTCACTCCCTCACGCTGGGGAGTGCATCTTCGGCAGATCATTGCTGCCCAGGAGGTTTTTCCCCGGGGGGGAAGACAGTTGACCTACCCCTGTGGTCGGCAAACTGCGGCTCGCGAGCCACATGCGGCTCTTTGGCCCCTTAAGTGTGGCTCTTCCTAAGCCTTAGAAGTATCTTAATTAAGTTAATA